TGTTTTAGATATTCCCCAACATATGCTGTATTAACTGTGTTGTTGAGTAACATTTGCTCAAAACTACTTTTTATGAAAATATTGTAATGCTTAATCATAATAATTCTTCATCTCCCTCATATGGGATCTCAAATACAGACAATTAACATGCATTGTGATATCATATTTTCAACTGGCAAATTACACAGATTTTGGTTTCGATTTCTCAGAAAAAAAAGCTTCTTTCTCAATTTGAACCATTTTGACAAACCTTTGAAGAGAAATCTATTCATAGATTTTCAAAAATAAAGAAATATCTCCCCCCAAAAGAGCCTCAATTGACCACAGTACAATGCAGCGTTCAATATCATCTAAATGACCACTGATATAACTCATATTAATACTTAAAGTATATTACAAAATGAATGAAGCAGGATTAAAGAACGCTATTACATTGGAAGCATAAACAATTATAACCTCATAAAAGGCATTTCCTGAATATATTTACATTTGTAGTATCGGCTCTAACAATGAACCTTGTCTTCTGCTTACAGCGGCATCAAGTGCACAAAGGTAAGATCTGAAATGTGAAATTCAAATAATAAGCATAACAGTGTTTTATCAATCGAGCAGACATTTGTTTATCATAATTAAACAACTCCACCCTGTTCTGGTTTAAATGAACCATGCGATCTTTTGTCTGTAACCTTTTGCCTTGTTTCCTCACTGGTGGAAATCTACAGAAATGCAACTTGTACAACAAGAGAAACATGTGGTCCGGTGAGTGGAGCTGTCAGACGCTGTGTTTATACATATAATTATACATATTGTTTTGCTTCTGTATCTTCCCTGATTTTATGTATGTATTTTGATTCAAGATCATTATCAAATACCTTCCCAGAGCCGCAGGTACAAACGTCATGTTCTGATTTTATCTGTTCTTTGAGAGCTGTTTCTCAGATTGTTTTCTAAACAACAAACGATAAGACACCTTTGAAAAAGTTATAAAGAGGTGAAGGGTGTTTCAGTACAGATTCAACATTTTTCACTGTCAGCAGCTTCAAGATATGTTATTCAGTCAGTAAGATATTTAAAGCTATAATTATTTGTTCTCCCTGGGGCAATAAATAAACAAGTCTGTGGTCGAAAGGAACAAAGCCAAAGGTTTTTTTAATTGAGCTATTTGACCAAGTGACGTGATATAAAAACACTTGTATAAACACGTGGAGAATATCCAGTCAGAGAGGATATTTGGCTCCAGGACTTACTCACTATGACTCAGCAACATATCTACGAAGCTCCAAAAACAACATGCTATCCCGTTTCACTCTCACAACGAATGATACAAAAAAGCTGACCAAATCACATTCCAACAGGACGAAAGGCCTCAGCAAAAAACTAGATTTACCTGAAGTTATAGGCGAAATGACACAAAATACCCCTGGGCACAGACTGTAAAGGCCTACTTCATAATTGCAATACAGACTTTTTTCTATAGTTGTTCCTTTACTGGAAAACAACAGCTGTAATCAATATCTTGGACAATGGCTCAGCTTTTTATATTCAGGGTTTCCCTTGTGTTATATCGTTTTTTGGGACATGTAAATGGTCTGCAGAGGCTAAAATCCCACATCACATTGTACCTTCAAGGCTTTCCGGTACAATGCGTTGGAGCGCTAGCCAATAGAAGCGGAGTGTTACATAGTGATTGGTCAACCACGTAGACCAATCAAAACAGAGCCGGCCAGCTAACCAATCAGCAGACTGGGCTCTGGTTTCAGACCCCAATGACTTCATTCAACTCCAATGAATCTGTAATAATATTAATGATACAATTAAATCGAATAAATTCAGAGCAACATTTTCTTTGAAATCTCCCATAATCAGAGAAATTGAAATGATATACACTATACTTGAAACTACTAACTACTATGAAAATATCCACATCTGAATAGAAATCATTAACCTCACCAATAACCACAAAATGTGCTCTTTAGAAACTTCAAATAATTACTCAAACTACCATTAATAACGCGTGACTGCCAATTTCTGTGATAGATTTTGAATGCGTATCAGAGGGCACTTTAACATTTCCAAAAACGTTCCTAGTGCATATTTAGCAACATACTTTAGGTACATCTGACACACACAGCATGATTGGTTTGACACACAACGCTTCAGGGATTTTATAACAATGATCTGGAACATCGTCTGGAGCACAGTCAGCTCTGAGTTCATGGGAAACCCTGTTACAAAACCTTAAATAGTACATGCAGTGCTGGGGAGAAGTGAGCTACTATATGCAATTGAACCAGTTGTTTAACTACATTTTTCAGTTGCTTCCTGGTAGAGGAATGTCTAGGCCACAAAGGAAAGAAGTATAATTGTTATCTACCATTTGTTCTTTACGATAGACACATCTTTGTCTTTGTTATGTTTGACCTGGAATGTGACTATATTTTATTGTAATTTCATATCACATATACATTGACAAGGTGTATTTAAAGTGTAGATTAGCTTCCACAACACTGATTATGTGTCATATTTAATGATATGAACTGATTATGATAGCTCAGGACTTATGAACTGTTCTCTAATTGCCTCCTCAGAAGCTTTTTTCAGCATGGTTCATATTATTCTATTTCCTTGTCACTCAAGTTTTCCTTTTTCTCTTCTTCCCAAGATGCCAGACTCGACCTCTCACTTCCTGCAATGTGTTGGATTACCCCCCAAAGAAACTGGGAGAGACCACATGCGACGGCTGAAGGGAATGCTTGAAGCGACGATGGACGTGTACACCTTCATGGTAAAAAAGAAAAGAACAACACGTCTGCAGGAATGTAGGCGTGCAATAGAAGGAATGCCGTCCCACCTAACCAGTTGGTGTTGTAATGTCTTTTATTCTCTTCTGCTATGAAGAAACATACAGGCCGTGAAAGATTAGCGATGAGTTATGTGTAACTGATGTGTTATGTCTCACGTGATTTTGCACTTTTATTATTAGCTGTTCAAGGAAACTCATGACTCATATCAGGCTTACAGTTAGAGTTTCTATTAGACAAGGGGACAAAAGGTTCACGTTTTTTTACCAACTTCCTGAAAACTTATTTTAACAGTCAAAACTTAGTGGTAATTGTCAGATATTATAATAGTATACTTTCATTTGTTCTCATCCATAGGGGTTACTTGTATGGAATTATAAGAACATACTTTTTGTATTTGTTGTTTTTTTTTTTTAATCAAAAATAATATTCTTGGATTCTTGGTAGTTAATTTGGTTCATAATTGTTTCTTGTATCTATTGGATATTGCTACAAAACATCTTAAGCTGACATCTCCTTCTAAAGAAATGGCATTTATTAAAGTTTCTCGCCTAAAAAACAACAACATAGGCCTATATGATTACCTAGAGCTTGAACGTATCATAATATAACTCATTAGCCATTAGCTTCCTTAATTATCCATATATTTATGTATTATCTGTTGACTTTTGCATGGGCTCCCTGGGTTATCTGTACGATTTGACTCCCCTGACCTGCATAACAACTACTTTCTTTCCTTTACTTCCTCATCTCACCTTTTGTTTTTTTACACCCCTACCACATCCACAGAAGTCCAGTTTGAGGGGAGTGCCACTCCTCAGCCTGCAGGGAGAGCTGGCATTAAACCCTGAAGCAGATCCTCTCCAGAACGAGGCCCTGGTCCAGATGTGGATAGAAGTGAAGATAAAACCTCTGCTGAAGTCTATCAGCAAACACTTCCTGACCTGCCTCAGCACCAAGAACTTCAGCTGCTCCACCTACCAGACTATGTATGTCTCATTTTCTGTCTATACTGTACCTGTGTTTTTCTGTTTCCTTTTTTACAAAAATGTATCTCACTATATCGTCTCTTCTTGCAGGGTGAGGGAGCTCAGCTACTATTATTCTGAGATGAATCCAGTCCGACAGAAGTGGATCTACCAATTCTTCATGTACCCCTTTCTGTCTGGAGACAGAGTGGCCGGTAAAACTTTTATATGTTCATTTAGACTGTTACTACAAAATACTCCGATAGTAGGGGAAGATAAGGGAAGATGCTTCCTTAGGGAACACATTGAATGTACTGTAAACTTAAAACGTGGTTGGAAATGAGTGAAACTTAAAATAACATTTACAAATAATCACAGTGTTAGGAGTAGCCATTTTTTATCTAATAGGCTAGCACAAAAATAGGCTCCCAACTGAAATGAACTAAAATCCCAAATCTTTACCTAGATTAGCTAGCAGATTAAAGTTTATTTTAAGACTTTTCTTCAGACTAAAGGTTTTATTTCAGTTGTTTCCTTCAGAAAGTTTGCTAAAGCAATGCTAATGATTGTTAGCTTACAAGCTAGCTAGCTAATAGTGCTAACTAGCTGGTGAAGCTACAATTAATAATGTTATGGCTATATATAGGGACTTTATGTTATATGTAGCTATATACTATATAAGGCACATTCTTTATGAGTAGGTTTACTGCAATATCTTACTAAATAATATTTTGAGGTGAGGTCTTACCCCAAGGGTTTAATTTTACACGCTAACTTCAACGTTTCCATCAAACAAATGTGACCAAAACCTCATTGATAGATTCATTTATTAAATAATTAAGTTCATAGTAGCATGTACATAGCATAATATATACACAACTTTAACCGACACAATGATTTTTAGATTCTTGATTTGAGATATATATATTTATTGACACGTGTATTCTCTGCTCAGGGTGTGTGAGCCACGACGAAAGCAGTGAGGAGTGGCTGATGAAGAATTTTGGTGCGTTCAAAGCCATGGCCAGAATTAAGGACTTTTCATCACTCAACATGGTCTTCAGTGGAGTGAGTTTACTTAAGTTCGCCTTAAAGATTTCTAAGATTTACATCCCAAGTCACCCTCACATGGTGGACAGTTTTTATTCAGTTAAAAAGACACGGTGTACGATTACATTTCTCACACTTCTCCCTCCACATCTTATCCTTTTCCCCCTCAGTTGGAGGTTCTTCACCTGCTGTCTCCAGTGCAGAAAGCTGAGCTGCTGCTGAGGCCAGAGGTCTCAAGTTTAGACAATGCCACCCTAAGCCTGGTCTTCCACAGTATGATGACAGGAGACCCTAAACCTAACCCCCCCCCCCACCCAAAGCCCTGGATGGGGCAACAACTGGACGACCCCCGGATACCCGAACTATTCTCCAAACCCCACACACAACCCGTACCAACCGCCGTACCAATACGACAGCATAGGACAGGTACTGTGATGAACTGGGATGCATAACGTCAGGTTTTTTAAATTAAATTACTTAGTGTCTGAATTTAAAATGATGACTAGATAAAATAAGAAAATAATGATTTGTCCTCCAGGCGGGACTTTTGTAGAAAAACAATTAGGCATCAGTGAAGTAAAAAGTACAAAATAATAGAAAATTAAACAAAAATATAATAGTAGGCAGGATAAATGGTTAAATTAATTGTATTGCTTGTATTAAATATTGATATTGCACTTTACTCAGTCTTTGGTTTATTATTATTTCTTTGAAAAAAAGGGAAATGTATACGTTTCCAAACATGTCAACCATTTTTATATTACCGTATAATTGTGCAGTCGTAAAATGTACAGTATTTTTATTGGATTTAAATAAACAGGACTCCAAGTTAAAGCTAATTTCTTCTCCTTTTGCAAAACTTTTCATCATGATACTATATGTCGGTGTTACATCATTGTGCCGCAAATGGCCTAAAGAAATCGTAATTTATTTAATCAAAGAATACAGTAGGCTTATGAGGGGACAACAACAACAGTTAAGATGTCAAAATATCTCTTCTTTTGTTGAACTCACAGGTTGTAAATGGCTTCAAGATGGCTTTCAAACCCATTGGGAGCTTCGTTCATGATTTTGTGTCCTTCACACAAGAGGTACAACGCACACACACACACACACACACACACACACACACACACACACACACACACACACACACACACACACACACACACACACACACACACACACACACACACACACACACACACACACACACACACACACACACACACACTGTACACCTTATCGTTAAAATAACTCCTGACCTGCTGGTGTTTCTCCAGAGGGAATCAGAAATAAGGAGCACGACTCTCACCCAGTTCATGCTCAACTGGACTCTGGCCGAGCTGGCAGACATGTATCGGCCAAAAAATACATCCATGGTTCCCGAGATGCCAGATTTTGACGTGACAAATGTGGAGGATTGGTTCCAGTATGTCGTGATGCCGGTGTTACAAAGGTTCCTGCCCGAAGACTTGACCGAGCTGCCAGAAAAAATCACACTGGCTTTCCACCAAGTGTTGTAAGTCAAGCTAACATTTTAGAAGAAATTGGTCCAAACGTAACGGCTACGCGGACGTAACGTAGCGGCTCAGCCGTTACGTTACGTCACTGGAAAAAGAGAAATCTCCAACGAGGCGTTCTGGGGCAGCATAGACAGGTCTTTTCTGTGTTAGAGTTTTACTCGCTACAGGGTGTACTTTGAGGGTTTGTGATTCTGCAGACCGTTCACATGCATAAAAAGCTACATAACACACAAGGGGACGGGTAATAACCTGAAAAGCATGACATGGGACCTTTAACATCTTAGTATGAAATAAAAGCATTATATTAATCCAATACAATTTAAAGCTCCTATCATCTTAATGATGGCTCAGTTCCAGCAATTACTACCATGCAATGCAGCTGTAGCTATCTCTGAACCTTTTTATTAGCCTCTTCAATCTCATTGTTTCAGTTTTACTGTTTATAATTAACTAATACCATCATATTTGACTATACGCATATACAAAATATGCATTGCAAACACCTGAAGTGGTTGCATTCAACTTTGGCTATCGGAAATGAAAGTTTAATTTAATTAAAAGGATTTAACTACTATAAAATCAACATCCAGTTACCAACCTTTTATAAAAAAGGTCAAATGTATAGCCAGCAATTCATTTAGTCTCAATTATGAAGACTCTGAGTGCTATTGTAGAAAGTGGAGAATTTAGTCGCTGGTGGTGACCAAAAAAGAGCAAAGAGCAGGGTTAATATTGAAATTAGATATGTTCAGTCACTCCAAATGAATGCGTATATTGATTCATATCTTTCAAATGTGCGAAAAAGTAAATTGCTTGCCAACATGTTAGTCTCTTTATAAAAAGAAAACGTGTCAGGGTTGTGGGTTTGTTAGCTTTATCGGAAGTTTCTCTGTCACCAGTCGTCAAAAATCAACACCAGTTAACTCAATCCATCTCCGGTCATTTGTTATGTTTCTGTGTTGTAAAATAGTGTAAAATAATGTTTTTAAATGTACTTTTGTGTCTTGTTTGTGTGCAGCCATCTGGACAATGGTATGTACAATGAAACCTCTGAGATCCAGGATGTCTGCAGCATCAGGCTCGATGAGGGACCTTGCGGGGTGAGGAATCAATTTCATCTTTAGTTGAACGTGTAGCATTTGTATTCATCCTCACATTTACCTGTTGCTTCTTCTTGAAAAGTCTTCCTAAAGAGCTTCCTATCCCATATTCCTTTCCTCCTACCAGCTGACTGATGCGGTGGAAAATGTGGCCAAAGTGTTGCACTGTGCGGCTCGCAGTAATCTGACGCTGTCGGAGGAGGAGATCATGAGGCTGATCATAGAGCTGACCGAACGTCTGAACATGCTGATCAAAGAGTTAACTACAGTGGTGAGTACATTCACCTAAAAATACACTCTAATGCAAACAGATGAGCCGGTTTAAACTCAATGTTTACAGACGTAACTGACGTTGACAACCTTTAAAGCATTTGCTAAATGAACGCATGTTAATGGATAGTGTTTGTATAATACATGCAGAATCCATTCGATGTATTATATATATATATATATGCATGTTACCTTTGTTTCATATACAGCAGCAGTTCCCAACCTTTTTCAACTCAGGGCCCACTTAAGAATCTAAAAATTGTTTCGCGGCCCACATTCAACCATAAACAACATGGAGGCTAAATAAAGTTCTGATTGGTCAATTAAGAACATGTGACACGTTGTTAATCCAGTAGTACAGACCACTGTCAAGGACTGTAATGACCGTTGCTAAGGAGGATCGAGAAAGAGAAAGGGAAAGAGGTTCAAATAAAAAAAGAATCTTATTAATGAAAATGTTTCCACACAAATCATAATGTTTTGCAAATTATTTGGCGGCCCACTTGCAACGCAAGGCCCACAGGTTGGGAACCGCTGATATCCAGAATACCACAAATTGTGTTTCTAAACCCACGTTTGATAGTCATTTCAAGTTTATAGTAAGGATTTTAAGTTAAATAATTCTGGGGTTTCTTTAAGGGAGTTTTTCCTTAATCCTGCAAAGATTTAAGGACAGAGAGTGTTATGTACAGAGGCAAATGTGTAATTTGTTATATGGGGCCAGTGGTCTTTCCCTTATGTAAAAGTAGTGACACAACTGTGTAGAAATACTTTTTTATAAGTACCCAATTCCTGCATTGATTTACAGTGATTTACTAATATGTGGGAAACATCTGGGAAACATTCAACTGTCACAGAACTGTATTGTAAGCTATTTGTAAAAACTTTAAATTAAAATCAGTGCTTTTTCCCTTTTCTTTTCTGCAGAACTTCAAAGAGTTGGCGATGGACTTCCAGCAGATCTTCAGCGAGGTGGAGTCTCCGTCTCTGACCCCAGAGAACCTGGAGGACCCGGCCTTCATCAAACTCTGGTTTAATATCAAGATGGTTCCTCTGCTGCCCAACGTGCACTCAGGCCTCCTGTCCTGCCTCAGCACCAAGAACTTCTCCTGCCCCGTCTACCAGACCATGTGAGCTCACTGCAGACTTGTTTCACACATCAATACACACACTTTATGGCAGGGATGTCCAGACTTATTTCACAGAGGGCCACATACAGCAAAATATACGAAGGGCCGGGCCACTCACTAGAGGTTTATTGCCTCATAAGTTCAGTTATAAATTAGCAAAATCAATCCAATGTAGGTTAATTATTCTTGATACTTGAAAATTCAGTTGCCTACATCACAGCTCTCCATGGGGTTTCATTTATTTTGTTAGCAGCTCATTCCTTAAATCAGAAGCTTCAGATTGCTGATAATAAGAGGAAATATGAAGGGTATATTTCAAGGTTATGCAAGTAAGTTATTGGGCTTTTTTCTTATCAACTTAGATTTGTTAGAACATGTTTTCAACTTTAATTGACTGAATTCATTTGAAAACTGGGCACATGAATACTGTGTAAAATATTTGAGCATATATATTTAAGAAGTACAATATAAGCAGAAGTTTATTATAATTTTTCTATTTGCTGAGGGCCGATTCAAAATGGTCCGCGAGCCGAAGTTTGGACACCCCTGATTTTTGGTGTACTTAATGTCATTTCTTCCTATATGTGCAGTGTGGCAGAATTCAGCAAACACGAGACTGATATGTATCCTAATCCTGACATCTATGAGCACTTCATCTTTCCCTTCCTGATGCATCACAACACCTCTGGTAAGTTAACTCTAAGTAGATGTTTGGCAGATTTTAAAATGTCTTAGAAGGACAACAGAAACGCTGAAGAAATAATCACCAGACTGAATCATTTTTCATTGCAAATAAATCGATACAAAATCACGACATGTTGGCAAATAATAGAAAGCCAAATTGTAAGCTTAATGCAGACTCCAGCTCACTTTAAGAGGTATCATGTCTCTGCTGCAGTGGAGGAAGTATTTAGATATCTCATCTAAAGTAAAGTGAGGTAGAAAGATCTAAATGTACACAATGCAACATGTACTTTGAAGTTTAATCAATATACTGAATGTTTTGCAGATCCCCAGTGTGTCTCCTCGACCAATAGCAGTGCAGAATGGCTGATAAAGAACTTTGGTGTTTATTCAAGATTCCCCTCCATCACTGACTTCTACAAACTCAACCCGTACTTCTCTGGAGTAAGTCACAAAACCCTGACAACGCTCCGTCTTAAAATCACTTTAGAGCCAGTACTTTTCTCCTGGATCCATCTCTTCGTATCGTTATTTTTGTCATATGGATTGTCTATGTTGTGATACTGCTATGAGTCCCTCCTCAGTTTCATGTTTTTTCCCTGTCAAAAATACAGTTTGTTTGATTATTAATTATACGTTTCTTCTCTTTGTCTCCTGTCCAGCTGGAGGTTCTTCCCCTCTTGTCTCCAAAACAAATAGTGGGGATGCTGCTGTTGCCTCTTCCTACTCCACCTGAGAAAGACGTTGTTATCGACCGAGTGTTTGACTTCCTGTTTGAGTCCCCCGAAGACACGAGACTTCCTGAGGTCCTGCACGAACTGCTTTATCTCATCAACAAGGTAACAGCTTTAGAATTATGTGTTTCTTCAAAGAGGCCTTATTACATTAAGGGGGTTTTCCCTTTCCTCTAGTGTGTTATATAGGTTTGGCTAAGGCTAAAATCCCCAAATAAATAACTGTAAAATGTGTCTTTGTCAGGTCAATCCACCCTGTGATGTCTACAGACAAATGTAAGTACCTTCAGAAACTTATTATAACTTTTTGTGCAGCAGCTGAAGTGCAAAGAGTGCAAATACAAAATGAATATTAATCAGCAATGTTTTACATTAGCACTACTTTGTTGTGAAGTAGTGCACATATTTAAATGGGCTATTTGTAAAAATGTCTTCCCAGTAAAGCAGATTAAGAATAGAGAATATATTTTAGAGGATTTTGCAGCCGTACTTGGTGTGAATGCTTTCTTATTTCATGTTTCATGTTTCTTTTCAATGTCAGTTTTGAGAGATTGTACGGAGCCATACCAGATCTGCCACGAGATGTAGAACCATTCATCTGGTCTTACATCGATCAGCTGATTAACGTGGCGCCAGAAGGTCAGTCCCTTTCTACTAAATACTGTTAATATTTACATTAATTATGTGGCCATCTATGCTTCCTGTAGTTATTGAATTGCTCTTTTTACTGAACTGTTAGTGTACAGTTTTATTATTATTGTGCTGATGTGTTTATTGTATTTTTGTAACTCTGGCACAACAATTTCCTTTGGGATGAATACATTCCTATCTTATCTTATCTTTCTCACACACATACAAAAAACCTACAGGATTAACATAAGACTGTATTTGTATATACTGTATCGACTGAGTAGCGGGACAGCCTGCAGTTCATGTCCACACGGTAGAGAATAATCCAAATGGTCCTTTGCTTCTGCCGCGGCTCCAGTCGCCACGATCAGATCCAAATCCGACAATTCAAGCGATAGTAGGTTCCTACACGCTCGTAATCCTCACGTCGCTGTCGGACGTTTTTGACTTAATGTAGTGGCCAATTGTCCAAAAAAGGAATGTTCAAAGGCCACTTAGTCTAGGAGGCGAATTCGAGTATTGACTCGCGTACGTTCAAGAAATCCAAACACCTTGCTCGTTCCATTCAAGTGCTTTATTAGGAGGTTCAATGGATCAGCTGGCGGCCCAATGCCGACGTGGAACCTTTGCACGGTATTTCAACATATAAACAAACGAATCCCAGTCGTACGGATGTGTGCGGTCAAAAACTTTTTCCAACTTCCTCTCTAGACTTCCTGCTGTGTCACGCTGGCAGCGTCATTTATACCTGAGCACGCTCCTACAATCTGCTTTCTATAAATAATAATAAAACTAGAGTCGTCCATAAGCAAGATAAAACGTTACAAAAAATGTGAGGGTCTAAAGGACAGAGGGTGTCGTTTTTCTCATACTGATATTCTGAACAAACTGTGCTGTTGTATTTGCTGTAAAGTGTCTTTACTGTAGGGTATTTTATTATATATACAGCACTTTGGCTCCACCGAAAATCGTTTAAAAATGTGCTATATAAATAAAACTTGATTTGATTTGATTTGAAAAACAGTATAATAATAATAATTCATAGTTATTCAGCTCATTAAATTAAAATAATATTCAATTGGCTAACCAAACCATCATTCATTACCATAATATAATGTGCCTAAATGGCTCTTACAATGTGTATTACATTTAGACACTGAATATTTTGTATCTTTTGTTTTTCACAGAGTGTGTGCCACAGAACTTAACGGTGAGATTTCTTTATATTTGCTCAATATGTTTTCTATCTGAATTTTGTTGCTCATGAATTCATTGTTTTAGACGGTTTGTTTTATAATATTCTTTCAAAGTCATTCATTCCTTAAATCTTTCTTTTACAGTGCCCAGATATCAAGTACAACAGTAAGAGCTCTTCACTTTAAAGTCTTATTGTATCACTTATTACATTACTGTGAGTGCGTTTACAGATAAATTGTTATATTTCTTCTGTTTGACAGGTACGCACGTCTGCAAAGGAGTTGACAGGTAGGAAGGAAGCTGTCATTATTTTAATCCAAAATTACAATAAGTCTTTCAATCTGACATGTATTTACCTTTTTGTGTTTTCACAGCTCTGCCCTGCACTCTCACTTGAACTCATCTGAAGATGTGTCCTGCAATTTCACCCTGGAGACGTATGCATGTGCACAGGTGACCATTTTAAAGTCAGAGTGGAAATGCAAAGGTTGATTTCTGAGAGGGTTTTTTATGCATCATGCTGCCTTGTTTGGATCAATTACAAGACAAGATCAGGCTTCTTTTAAATGCAATTTGGAAATAGAATTGTTGCAGAAACACAAGGAAATAAATAAGTACAGGTACATGGAAAAAGGTTAGAAATTAAACGGTATTACTTTATTAATAATAATAATAATAGATTAATTTTGTTAGCGCTTTTACAGGTGCTCAATGACGCTTTACAGATATAGTGAAAAGAAAAGAACAACTAACACATATATATAGTTAAAATTAAATTAAAATCAAGCAATACAAACACAATCACACATTAAAAGCCAGATTGAAGAGGTGAGTTTTTGTAAGTTTTTTTGAAGGTGGTGAGGTCAGTGCAGTCTCTGATGGGTTGTGGGAGTGAGTTCCAGAGGGAGGGGGCAGCGACGGAGAAGGCTCTGTCCCCCCCAGGTCCGGTGATTGATGCGGGTGGGGATGGATAGGAGGTTGGCTTCTGATGAGCGGAGGCAGCGGGAAGGGGTGTGGTGGTGCAGCAGGTCTGTGAGGTAGGGGGAAGGGGTGTGGTGGTGTAGCAGGTCTGTGAGGTAGGGGGAAGGGGTGTGGTGGTGTAGCAGGTCTGTGAGGTAGGGGGAAGGGGTGTGGTGGTGTAGCAGGTCTGTGAGGTAGGGGGAAGGGGTGTGGTGGTGCAGCAGGTCTGTGAGGTAGGGGGAAGGGGTGTGGTGGTGCAGCAGGTCTGTGAGGCAGCGGGAAGGGGTGTGGTGGTGCAGCAGGTCTGTGAGGTAGGGGGAAGGGGTGTGGTGGTGTAGCAGGTCTGTGAGGTAGGGGGAAGGGGTGTGGTGGTGCAGCAGGTCTGTGAGGTAGGGGGGGGGGGGCTGGTTGTTGAGGGCTTTGTAAGTAATGAGGAGGACTTTGAAGTCGATTCTTTGACGGACGGGGAGCCAGTGGAGGTTCTGGAGGACGGGAGTGATCTGGTCTCGGGAGCGGGTGTGGGTGAGGAGGCGGGCAGCAGAGCTCTGGATATGTTGGAGTTTATTGAGGAGGTGGGATGGTATGCCGGCGTAGAGGATGCTATTGCAGTAGTCGAGTCGTGATGTGATGAATGCATGAATCAGGGTTTCAGCAGCAGAGGAGGAGAGTGACGGGCGGAGACGGGCAATGTTTTTGAGGTGGAAAAAGGCGGTCCTGGTGATGTGATTGATGTGGGGATTGCATTTGAGCTGACTGTCGAAGATGACTCCGAGGTTGCGGATGTGAGGGGGGGGGGGGGGGGATAGAGTATTGCTGTCAATGGTGAAGTTGACATTCTGGACTTTACTTAGATAGTCTGCCTACAAATAGTTGTAGAGAGTATGTGGAACATTTAAACAGCCTTTTAGTTGGAATGTAACTGTTACCTATGCTAATGTGTATAGCATATTCTTAAAATGTGTATTTGTACATTCATTTACACATTTACTTATGTATCTCTACAGACTATAAAAAGAGCAAATTACAATACAAGCAGTATAAAAACAGTGCCCTTAATCACAGTTGTAGTCAAACTCTTGAATTAGCTAAAGTATAAGTAGAGTACTATGATAATACCCAAAATAACAGTCAGAATAGTTTATCATATAGTATATTACAGTGTGACATATAAAGCAAATGTAGTGATAGTTTAACATAACGTACAGTATAACACAGAAAAAGTATATAAAATAACCACATGTATGCTGTAGAATTGCTTCAAAAGGTGGAATGGAATTAAGTCCTTGGATGTTTTTGTTTAAGAAAATAACCTGTTGAATATATCAATACAATGGTATTTATATTTTTCTTTTTTTCTTACACAGCTGGAGGACTTCAGCGCCACTCATCTGGTGTCTCTGCTGAAATGTAATCTGCCCGGAAACAGCTCGCACTCCATTGTTTTGTGGAAGATGCTGCTGACGAAACTCTCCTCTGTCCTGGACCCGGCTCTGGACATGTTGGCCGGCATGGTCAGTATTTTTTACATACACACCAAGTTTTTTTTAAATTGAAGTTTTATTTTAAAGTCTCATCGGGCCTCATGAAATTTTCCTTTGAAGTGAATAATTCAAATGTCAAAAAAAGAGCTCATCAATTTGAAAAAGATTGAATTGCTGGACGAAGGCTCCTCAATATATAATGATGCAATAAGTGTATTTCTCCTACAGCCAATGGTCATGGTTGGTCCGTCGGCCTCGGAGGTGTTGGACGTGCTCGGAGAGATGCGAGTGTCTCTGCTGACGGACGAGGAGCTGATGAACAGCAGCGTCATTAGGAAGTGGTTTTCTCAACGTCTGAGCGCGTTTCTGCCATTTACATCCGGCAGATTCCTGCACTGTCTGACCAACAGGAACCTCAGCTGTCACTCATACCAGCAAATGTAAGTGATTTGACATACATGCCATATGTAGTGATTTTACCGGTTTCAATCACCATGTCCGTTTGTTTTGGAGAAGAGTAGACCTCTGCCGATAGTGGGAGAGACTGCCTGTACTGACTATACTCATTGATGGTTGTATCTCCCATGATCCCACGCTGTTTCACAACACCACCAAACGTCATCTCTTGTTATTGTTTTGATTGAGAGACACCAAAAAATGAAATATTATGGGTTTCAAAAGTCTTGGATCAAGATATACATGGCCTCCATACAGCCCATTTGATTTAGGTGTTTCGGTAACGGCATGGCCATATTTAGTGATTCCACCGTTTTCAATCACCGTGTCCATTTGTTTTGGAGAAGAGTAGACCTCTGCGGATAATTTAGCTCTGCGTTAAATCCTCTGGAGCATCTGGATCTTACGTTATCAGAGAAACAAGCTGTTTTAATCACCTGGTCTGTTTGTTTTGGCATGAAGGAGACTTTTTTTTAAGAAAACACCTGAGTGATGCTCTCTAAAGGGAGAGACTGCCTGTACTGACTTTACTCAGTGATGGTTGGGAAGACTCCCATGATCCCACGCTGCTTCACAACACCACCAAACTTCATCTTTTGTTATTGTTTTGATTAAGAGACACCAGAAAATGACATATTATGGGTTTCAAAAGTCTTGCCTTAAGATATTCATGGCCTCCATACAGCCCATTTGATTTGGGTATTTAGGTAACGGCATGGCCTCTGGTGTCTCTTTAAAGGTGGGGTAGGTAAGTTTGAGAAACCGGCTCGAGATACACTTTTTGTTATATTCCATGGAATGCTCTTAACATCCCGATAGCAATGAATATCTTAAGTGCTTTGACAAAAAATCCATAAAAAATGTCATCTGTGGAAGCCGTAGTACTGTAAAAAGCATGACCAATCATTTTAGCCGGCCCGGCTAAAATAACTGGATGGCCTACCTGCCTGTCAGCCTTCCATCTGTGCACAAACTTATCTCGTGCCCTCATTGGTCATGTGCGCGTTCGTGTGTGTTGGAGGAGGGGCTCTGTAAGGAAGTGGCAGATTTTCTCCGGTTGTGTATTTTCAAATTCTAGCGATCTCGAGCCGGTTTCTCAAACTTACCTACCCCACCTTTAAGTCTTAATTCTATGTATTTTTGCAACATTGGTATTGACGAGAATGTCTTGTTTATGTTTTTCATGCATCCAAAAAGTGTGTTACAAGAAATACATGAAAAAAACCTTGAAAAGATAAAAATGTTTCTAATTCTTTCGTTGATTCTATTCTAAGACTGCAGGTATTTATCCACCATTTTGACAACATGACCTCACACCAACAACATGTGGTGCTCAAGGACTTCATCCTGCGCTTCCTGTCACACCCACACTCAGGTACATGATGCATGATCTGAGCAGCTACAATAACTATTTTTCAAAACGTATTTTAGCCTTTACACGTGTGTGTTTCCCTCCTCGTGTCTCGTTCCAGGTCCAGGCTGTGTGTCTGCCTCAAACAGCAGTGCTGAGTGGCTGATGAAGAATCTCGGTCCATTTTCACAGCTTTTATCCATCAAACAGCTGCTTCATCTCAACCCACACTTCAACCCTGTAAGATTCAACTTCTCTTACATCAAGGATCTAGATTATTGACAGGTTTCATGTGGTTTTATTTATGTTTGTTACTTTATGATTGGTTTACTCTCTTTTTATACTGTGTTTAGTTGCTGGTCGTTAGTTAATTTAATTCTTTGTGCCAGTCAAATGTGTTTGAAGAGTGTGAAAAGCACTTTGTAACTATATTAGAAATAAGCTTTAGAAATATTTTTATTATTTTCTTTTTACTTTTTATTTTTTTCAATATTGTTTTTTTATTTATTACATTTTTATTAATTCTTCAATATTTATTTGTATTATTTATTATTTTGTAATTATTTTATAATTATTCTTTAATTATTTTCTATTCTTTTTTTATTATTTATTTATTTTATGAGGTTTTTTAAAGGGGACCTATCATGCAAAATGCACTTTTTGATGTCTTATATACATAAACATGTGTCCCCGGTGTGTCGGGGAACTCACACAGCGTCAGAAAATAAAACCCTCTCTCTTTTCCTCCGTACCCAAATCTCTAAAAACGGGGCTACAACGGAGCTGATCCAGATTTGCGTTCGATATGACGTAATATCGGAGATGTAGGCTGGCTTTACACCCACGGCCCTATCAGAAACGTTGCTATCAGAAACAATGCCTGACTGTTTTGGACGTAATATGGTCGGTGTTTACATTAGCATCGCTAACACTCAGAGCTAACCTGTACTGGAGAGCATGTGTGTGAAGAAGCAGGAAATAAAAAGGAACTCACCTTGTGGTATAACCGGCAAGAGAGAAAGCCTTTGAGCTCCATACTGTTTCAGAGATAATCCTTGATAATCCATGATATGGCGTTTCATCACGGCAGTATTTAGTTTAGACCAGGGGTATTCAACTAAAATTCAACGAGGTCCAGTTAGAGAAAATGTCCCCATGCAAAGGTCTGGAACATCAAAATGTCTAAGTTGCTTTATGAATTAGTGTGATATATATTGAAGTAGCCTGCAGCTTTATCAACGTCTGCATGTAATCAACAACCGACTGCCAATCAAATAAAGAAAGTACAATTCAAAAACAACAATATTTATTGTCAATGAACATTGAACTATACAGATATACAGTAACATACTGTGGATATGTGTAATGTTCCTCTCGGGCTGCATTTAAAAATAAAATAGAGAAATAAATAAAATAGCTTTGTTAACCGTTTCACATCATGACTTAACAGTTTCAGACGATTATAGAACAACATCAGTCTTTACACATCATAACAATTGAACAGTTTTAAAGTTTCTCTTGCTTTCCCTCTTATATTGCAGTCCCTCACTCACTTTTCTTTAATTCAGTGTGAGAATTGAGCTTGAGCTTGTCCTGCCCGGAGTTTAAATCTGCGCTGAAATGGTGTCAGGGCCATTCTCATACACACATGCAGGTGCTCATTGGTTAGCCTCGGTTAGCCTGCCCTGGAACCATATTTAGTTTTAATTTTGATCCTGGTGGACTGATCATATTGGGCTCTGAGACTGCTTATTTTTTGTGACCTCAGTTCTGACTTGAGAGGGAATGTTTGGTCAAACACTTTGTGTTTTGTCTCATAGTGGCGTTTTGGCACTTTTAATCAGGGTTGGGAGGGTTACTTTGTAAATGTAATCGGTTACTGAATACTGAATACATGGCTCTGAAAGTAATCCGAATACCGTTACAGTTACGTGTCTTAAAAAAGTAACGTATTCAGATTACTTTTAGAATACTTTTGGAATACTTTATTTTTCCATAACAGATGGGTATGTTTTGGTGAACAGGAGACACTTATTTTACTGTTTTAATGGCTTATCAAGAGCACAACTCAAACACAACATCTTGGTGTCATTCTGGACAGCTCCCTCTCATCTGCACCCCACATAAAAAACATCACCCGGACTGCATTATTTGTACTCTCTTAAACCTTTCCTTAGAATATGTTGTGAATTGTCAGGTGTCCTTGGGTGCTTTGAAAGGCGCCCCTAAATAGAATGAATTATCATTATTATTTATTATCTGAAACGACGTAATAACTTTTAAAACTGTTTCCAGTCACTTGCCCCATGCATTCAGCAGCAGCAGGCCATTCATTATTTGTCTCTCCCTGTCTGCCGCTAACACGCCTGTTCACTCGCCTCTCCGTCTTCTCTGCCTGTATCGCTAATTATTCTCTTTACTCACTTTCCTCTCCGCTTCTCTCTGCCGCTCTCTCATCTCTTCTTCTGTGTTTCTCTCCCTGTATCGCTCACTCGTCTCTTTCGCCCCCTGTCAGCAGCGGTTAAAATAGAATCGCCCCGTCAAAATTGAAATCCCCTATTAATGTATTGATTATAGGTCCGGGTCCGTATAGGTCGGCGTCTGGGTCCGGATCCGGACCGCGGTCCGCCTGTTGCCGACCCCTGGTTTAGACAGTAGCTGCCGGGTCCCGCATGAGCTCAGACCCCTCCTTTTTTTTTTTTTTATCAATTTTTTTAAAGCTTTATACCCAAAATCAGCACTTTTGAAACAGGAAGTGAAATAGAGGGATATGAGGCATGGCTAGAATGGGTGATCTGTTTGGTGTTTTGAGCAAAACACTTCATAGACATGTTTTTTATATATTTGTATATATCTGAGACCTATGCCTATGCTACTTTTAATGTTATTGTTTTTGAAATTAGAACTATGACCTTGTTATTCCCGTAGCAGTGAAACTCTTTTTGTTCCTCTCTCCTCTCTGCAGCTGGAGGCTCTGCGGCTCCTGACTCCCTTACAGACCGCTGAGCTGCTGCTGGTGAATCTCCCCTCTGATCTCGATAAAGACGCCATCATTAATGTGATTTTTGACTTCCTCACTGAGTCTCCTGACGAGAAGAAGCTCCAGGAGTTCCTGATGAACCTCGCCAGGCTCCATAACCAGGTCAAAGATTATTTCTCTTGAATAAAAATATACACTTTGCACTGCGTCTTAAAAGTAATAATGTTGTTTTTTCTTTATTTAAAGGCAAACTTTACCTGTTCATCGTACAAAACACTGTAAGTTAAAACGTATTTATGTTGATTTTATAGACTTTATATTGATATTTTTAAAACAATTATATGAACATGAAACTGTGATTTAATCCCACATGTTGTTGTTCCAGGTATACGAGAATGGACATGGCCTTATCCTCCGTTTCTGTAAATACAGCGCACACCATCACATACATCAAGATGGAGTTATCCAAATACATTCCTCCAGGTGAGAACCACAGTCTACTAAACATTACACACATTTACAATAAAATAATAATACAATACTTTACTTGGAAAAGCTTTGAGGTTGGAAAAACCATCTTAAAAATTGAAATCCAAAATGTGAAACTCTTGCTTTGCCATTTATCTAAATTAGAATATTATAGATTTCTTACTATTGAAATGATCATTTCAACTTTTGATCTAAACCACATGTGTCAAACTCAAGGCCCGGGGGCCAAATCAGGCCCTTGGTGGATTTAATTTCGGCTCGCAGGATAATTTCTAATTACTATTAGATCTGGCCCGCCGGTATATTGCACGCACACCTTCACTCCATCCTGAGGGTTTCCTCAGCTCAGAGCCTGACCCCAAACATTGATGAACTTGCACCCAAGATGAGATGCCAAGTATCTGGCTTGAACTAGCATCACAGAGCAGCACACTGAGTTTCAATGGATGTTTCCTTCTGCACTTTGGTTCTTGCGACAACAGGGCATGTTTGGTTTTTTCTTTGAGGGGAATTGTTTTTTTGAAGCTGTTGTTGGCCTGTGGAAAAATGTAATCATAAGAAATGACTCAGATAGAGCCATAAGAAATGAATGCAACTGATTATTTAATGTTTAATGTTGTTTTTATAGGCAATAATTTAAGCTTTGTTAGTTCCAGGTTTAATATGTGCAATAAGTTCATTTCAATAAGTTAAGTTAAAGCCTTTTATTGTCATTGTACACAGAGTACAAGTTTTGCAATAAACATTGAACCAGTCCGGCCCTCGACTAGTACCCATTTTATTAATTTTGGCCCACTGTGTATTTGAGTTTGACACCCCTGCTCTACTCCATGAACTAATTCCTTTTTCTTTGTTTTACAGGTTGCATCATCTACAGCGTACAGGTACATACATGTGATTTATTCTTGTTCAATATTGTGTATCTTAAATTTGATTTATGTTAAAATACTTAAACCGTCTTAATCTTTTTCCCCCTCCAGTGCAATGTCACCATGACAAACGGTAAGTTCTCTCATTGCCTGGAAACAATATACGATATTCAATATCTTAAACAATTAAATGCATCTATTTCTTCTTATTTCTCACAGAAACTGACATTTGTGTTGGAGTGAACAGGTGGGATATATAATCCTCTCTCTCTCTATATATCATACCTTGAGATAGTTTGAACATTTAGTATTATTAAACTGTCACTAAATGTTTAATGTTCCTTATTTATTGTGAAACTACAGCACAAAGCTGCAGCTCAGCCTGAACAGCGGACAGATGCTCGGAGGCTTCTGTGACTTTTCTGTGGAGGAATACGCCTGCGCTTCTGTAAGACATAAAACATCTCAAGTGGTGAAACGCAGTACTTTTATTCAAGTATTTAACAACAGAGTATTTGTTCTTTAATTGAATATTTCCCCTTCGTTCTACTTTGTACTTCAAAGTCAACTTTATTGTTAATCTTCCAGTTTGTGTGTACAGACAGACAGATCAAAATACTGTTCCCACAATCCGAATATAAAAACAAATGTATATAAAATATAAAAATATGTGTGCAAATATGTATATACACAGTCAAAGTTGACTTGTGTAGTATACTTGTCCTCCACTGAGACGTATTTTTTCTCTCAACTGCATTTTTATGACACTTGTAGTCACTTGTCACATGAAATCCTACGGTATAGTCTAGTTGGCAGCATAGTGAACCCAGAAATGTTGAGTACAGAAAGGTTTTATGATAGAAATAAGGGTCCCCAGCACATAGAAACTTCCAGATGCTAACTTGCATATGTTGGGAAATGTGCACAATTAGCACAAGTTGCGTTAATTGAAATGAATGGCATTTAAGCCTACGTAAACAATTGTAAAAAATGTTGACTTTGGACAACTTGGGAGTGGTTTTGGAGGTTATTGAGGATGCTTGAATTCCTTTATTCCTTTAATGGGTACATTTTTTGATTTTCAGGATCAAAAATGTAAGTTTTCACCAGAAAGTGTCACTATTTGTACCTGTTATCATTCTGCTCTTTCGTCTCACAGCTGTCGGGGTTGAAAGCAGAACATTTAGCGGCGGTTCTGATGTGTGATCGATCCTCAAACTCCAGCAGCTCGAGGCCCGTCTGGAAGCTTCTCCTCTCCAAAGCCTCTCATGTTCTGGACGCAGCTCTCGATCTTCTCCCCGACAAGGTACGAATCAGACCTCATTTAAATCTGGTCATAATGAGCTGTGGAAAATAATGTATTTGAATGGTATCATCAATATGTCAATGATTAAGTAAAATGATTGCTGAGCTGACAATTGTTTATTTCTGTAGTAAAACATTTAGTTTAAGTATATACAAAATCTGTGTAAGACTGAGGAGAAGCAGACTTTGATAGGGTTATAAACCATTAAGTCAAATGCAGCTAATGGCTTTGTGGTAGGCTGTAGGGAAATCAGTGTGCATCCTGTGTGTCTCTTTGAGCTTAAAGTAACATCTAAAATCCTTGAATTGTTCTAAAGCACATACATTTGACAATATGACAGCAAAGGGAGAGTGCAAAAAAAAAGAACAGCTAAATTCATTTGAATATTTTAGATACACAGTGAACGTATTCATAATGCACTCATTTTAAAATCTGTTTAAGTGTGTGTGTCGGTTAACAATCTAAAACCATCTTGCCAAGTGTATTCATCCTATCAAGTCACTGTATGTTTCATTCTTCTTGTAGTCTTTGGACCCCACAAATCCTGCAGTGTCGATGATTTTGGACTCAATTCGAGAAATCCGGTTGGATATGTTCGACGTGTCCAGCTTCAACAACCCCGCCCTCCTCCAGCTGTGGTTCCAACGCCGCCTTCGCCCGTTCCTTCCCGCCGTCTCCCCCGAGTTCCTCTCCTGTCTCACCACAAAGGGCTTGAACTGCAGCAGCTACCAGCTCATGTGAGGAGCTCATCTACCCTCCAACTAAATGCTCTGATATTTTATAGGATTTTCTTGGATTAATCACGTCCACTTGTTTGATTTCAGGGTGAAGATTTTGAGCAGTGTGCAGCCTGACATGACACGCGCCACGCAGATGTCTGTCGTCACACACTTCATTAAGGCTTTCCTGACCAGGAATAACACCACGGGTATGTTCTCACATTTATACAAAGATGGTGTGGCAAAATCAGTGAGTGAGTATTTTAAATATAACGTGTGTTGTTCCAATACCCTTTAATGTGCAAGTTATCAAAAGTTACAGTAACAGTTGAAATGGCTGAAATGGCTCATTGTCCACCTGAAAATAATATTATTGGATAAGGATGGAGACAACTTTAATAGATTCTTATAGAAGGACGTGAAATATATGACTTTGAAACAGGCATATCATGTAAACGCAATATACATGTTTTGTGTTTTCTGTAACCTTTGTGGCAGGCCACCTCTACTTTTAAAATAAAGGCACGTTGCAACTAACTACATACAAATGTAGACACATACAAAACACCCTAAATCAAGCATTGTAACATCTAGCATGTCATTTCTATCAAGTTGGTATTTATGTTGTGGCAATTTAGTCATTACTATTTGAGGTATCATGCAATGTGTGCAAAGTAAAATATTAAAGGCAAGTCAAAATAGAGTGCCACAGTGACGCGTCCTAAAACCCGGAAGTAAGTTAGCATTTTACCACTTCCGGTTCCTTCGACAAAAAGCAATGCAATTTCTCCATAGAGACATTGCATTTTGTCGAAGGAACTGGAAGGAGTTTACTTCCGGGTTTTAGGACGCGTCACTGTACCACTCTATGTGCACAATATTCTAAATGCATAATCTATAACGACAATAACTGTATATTATAAAGTTGGTTTTGTTGTGTTTGTGGTGCAGACCCCAGCTGCAGCGCTCACACTAACAACAGTGCAGAATGGCTGCAGAGGAACCTGGGAGGTTTCTCCGTCCTCCTGTCCGTCCAGACCCTGCAGACGCTCTACCCAGACTTCACTGCGGTACGTCCTGTTGCCTTTCTCTTGTTATCATGTTCATTTACTTATTTTTTCTGTGTTTTAACCCTCATATTTGTGTCTGTGTGCACGGTGCAGATGGAGGCGTTGCCCGAGCTGACGGTCCGACAGCTGGCCGAGGTCTCCTCCACCCCGGGTCAGCTGACCTCTGCTGCTGACGTGGAGATGCTGATGACACACGTTCCCGACAGATCCCTCCCCGCCTTCTTCGATGACTTCTCCCCTGCTATCATGGTGAGTGGGAATCAAACACCGGTTTTATATCAATATCTGGACATCATCGGTACCAGGAAACAGTATGTTCACTTAAGTGAGGACAGCATTGTTTTATGCTGTCCTAAACGTTGTTGTAGGCAATACTTGATTTTGCTAGACAGCTATTTTAACAACAAAGTACATTGGTAGTAACTCAATAATGTTAGTAGAGAACAGATCACTTACACAAACCAACATAAACAGGTGCTCTCAAGGATGTCAGTGTATGTAAGAGCAAATATAGAAATATTGTAAAAAACTATTGTAAAAAATGTCAAGATAAATCATTGTTAAATAATGAAATACAATTGTTAATGTTCATTTTAGGACAAAAAAAAACCTATATTTACTGTAACACGTATTAACCCGGAAGAAGCTCTATACTTATATATATATATAGCAAAATCCCACTTCCCACAATAATATTATCTGTAGTTAAAGAGGTATCATCTAACTATATGCTATTTATAAAAGCTGCACTTTTTCTGAGTGTTTTTTTGCCTTTTGTAGAAAATGTTCTCTTTTTTATTTCCGCTCTTCTCTTCTCCCTCAGGGTCATGAGAGCATGTTCCCCTCCTCTGTGCGGTCGGCCCTGCTGCAGGTGGTGTTCGATCGAGCGAACCTCTCCGACCCCTCTGTGGGAGACTCAGAGGTGATGCTGTGGCTGCGCGACAGACTGCGCCCCCTGCTGGTCGAGCTGTCGCCGCGACACGTAGCGCCGTTCTTCAGGATACTGGAGGGAAGAAACTGCAGCATCGAGGACCAGGGGTAGGTTTGGACCACACCGGGGATTTGATTTAACTGGAATCAAGATCATTTTAAAATCAGTCCCTTTTTTGTTTTTAGAAAATGTCAACTGTCTTTTAGATTTTTTTACAACTGTCAGTGAATTAAATCATACAGCAGACAGAAAATCACTGATTGCCTTTTTTTTTTGCTCACTTCATTTCAGAGTGACAGACCTGAATTCAACGATCTCTTCTCTGAGTGAAGAAACACAGGAGGAAATCTACAGCCACATTGTTCAGTCTCTCAAAGGTAAATAACCCACAATGAAAATACACTTTATGAAACCTATTAAAAAAACGTTCAAAAATATGAAAAATAATAGATTTCTTAGTATATTTTTGTACATCTGTTGTTCATTAACCCTTCTTTATTCAACACTTTTGAAAATCCTTTACAGCAAGCAAATGTATGGCCCATAAATCCATCACCTTTGATTTACTATCTTTAAAACCTTGAAAGACTGACAGCCGAACTTTCTCTCTCTCCTTCCTCCAGGACCGATTCCTCTCAAATGCTACGGAGAAAACTACAACCAAAGTTTCTACGGTTTCCTGCAGCGCTCATTCATGAGTTTCCAGTTCCCCAACCTCACCACCTTCCTGTCCCTCATGCCTCACAACAGGGTGCATCAGGTGTGTGTCCCAAACATTGTTCAAGTTAAAGTCTGTGTTGATCTGAGACGATGACACCTTTTTAATGTTTCCTCCAGCTGGTGAACTCCATGCCTCCGTCACATCTTGGAGATTTCCTCCGTCTCCCCGATGTCGTCGACAACGATGCAGAGCTCTGTACGATATACGACAACTACGTGCAGACACCCATGTTCCTGGAGACTGTATGTACACACACACACACACACACACACACACACACACACACACACACACACACACACACACACACACACACACACACACACACACACACACACACACACACACACACACACACTCTCTCTCTCTCTCTCTCTCTCTCTCTCTCTCTCTCTCTCTCTCTCTCACACACACATACCATGTATACATCACTTCAGGGGACATTACATTGACTTACATGCATTTCCTGGAGACTTATCCTAACCATAACCAACACATGCCTTACCCTAACCCTAACCAAGTCTTCACCCTAAAATTAATGATTCCCCTCCATTATGTCCCCATAAGGGAGGCGAGTCCCCACACGTGACTGTGTAAACAGATTTAGGTCCCCACAAGTATAGTAATGCTAGGACACACACACACGCACACACACACACGCACGCACACACACACATACACATACACATACACACACACACATACACACACACGCACAAACACAAGAAATGTAAAAACAGATATTCATGATGATACAATAACGTGTCTTTGTCCACTCACTTACATGTTTTATTTTATTGCACATCATACATACATTATATAGGATTTTATTTATCTTTTATTTTATTAATGCTATAAATGGAAAGAAAAAACTATTTCCCTCTAGGATTATTACAGTATTTCTGATTCTTTTGATTTCTTAAATACATTGTATATTGTCCTGGAGCTTATTCCCTGCTGCATTGGGCTGCAGTTCTAGTCCCAACTGGGGACCATTTACACTCATCACCCCCTTTATCTACCCATTTTAAATCTGTCTCTATCATAAAAGCACAAGAGTCCCAGAAAATATATTTAAAAAAAATGTATATGTCATGTTACACCGTCAGAGAAGCCAGGGACTTGAGACTTGCATTACGAACAACCACGCTGTGCCTCCGGGAATATGTCAATACTGTATGTGCTTTTATTAAGGTGTTAATGTGTGCATAATGTTTCAATGTGTCTTTGATTGTGTGTATATAGGTATATACATATTTGCATACATATTTTTATAAATGTTTGTTTTTGTATTCGGGATTGTGGGAAACAGTATTTCGACCTCTCTGTCTGTACACACAACCTGAAAGATTGACAATAAAGTTGACTTTGACTTTGATAACGTTTTTGCATCCTGGATCCCCACAGGAGTCTCTCCCGGCGGCGGTGCGGCGGCCCACGCTGCCTTGCGTCTGGCCGATGGCACTCAGCAGCTCCGAGAGGTCAGAGGTCGACGCCTGGTTCGACCGACGCCTCCCCAACTATCTGATGTTCCTCACAGAGACTCTGATCAGCCCCGAGGTCACTCACAACGCCTCCTGCCTCGCCTTCCAGAAGCTGTACGTGCTCTCATGGAGGATTTTCTTCTTTGTATCATGGTGTTTTTTGGTGTTTTTAAATCATGTGTTTGGTTTTTCAGTGTTTCAGTTCTTGGTGAGCACAACTACACGGCTGCTGACTTCATGAGGAGAGATGTGTTCACCACCATCCGGAGTTACCTCACCTCAGGTCAGTCTCAGCAATGTGGAGTACATTTACTCAAGTACTGGACTCATTTTGAGGTACATGTACTTCTCTTGAGTATTACCATGTCATGTATCTTTGTACTTCTACTCTACTACAGTCCAGAGACAAATACTGTACTTTTAATCCACTACATTTATTGGATAACTATAGCTACTCCAAGATTAGGATTAAAAATAATGATCCAAACATATTAATATTTATTCAAATTAATTATAAAAAGTTAAGATAAGTCATTACTGATTTTTTAAAGGCTTCCCGGTGATATATGTATTGCAAAAAAACGAAATATTCTCTTTTACCAGCTGCAATATTGAAGAAATTAGCAAATAATGCATTAATAAATGAAATCAAAGTATATTGATATGGCATATGGCTATTGCGTCATCATTATCACAAAATGATCGTATAGGTCCTACACACGGAGCCGTTTTACCCCCCAGAGCGTTGCGTATGCCGTTCTATCCACCTTGGGACCCGTTATCGTTACCGCAGTTGTTTACTGCCATATTCGGTCGTCCTAGTGTGGCAGAACGGTCTATATGACACTAAACAGTTACACAAACGCCCGTATGCGTTCCCGTGGGGCAAGCACCTAAGCTTCTTACTTGACAGTTTTGCCTAATTCTATACCCTCTTCATCAAATTGGTCCTTAAAAAATGTGCAATGCAAGAAGATCAGTATTTTAAAATTAATGTGGTAATGTTTTTTTGATGCAAAGATTTTTAAATGTAGCACAAAAAGAGAACAACGCTTGAAAAAGTCTCAACGTACATGGCTTTATTTCTGTTTTTATTTGTTCTTCATTATCTCCCTGGTTGCCTGTTTGTATCCTCCATGTAAAGCTTTATCATGTATCATTACAGCGACGGTCCCAAGGTGTTACAACTCCAACGATCCAGAGCTAAACTCCACGGCCTGGTTTGCGGAGTACATCGGCCCCTTCATGCCCTTCCTCACTCTGGAGGACCTTCTGACGTTTGGATCTACAAAGGTACTTAATGAATCTTAAACCACAGCTCATGTTTGTTCACTTTGAGCTGTAGATATTTGGATGAATGCTGTACAGACCACCTCTCCAGTGTTTTGACCAATGTCTTGTCTCTTCAGGTCCTGCAGGTGTTCACAGTGAACCCTCTGAACATCGCCCTCCTGAACCACTCTGCTTTACCTCAAAACCTCACCGACTACTACACCGAGCTCGTCTACCTACAGGACGGCAACTTCAACCCCTTACTGTGAGTCGAAAGACCCAAAAGGCCCTCACACATAATGACAAATAAAAACATGTGGTAGTGGAAGAAGTTCTTAGACCTTTTTCTTAAAAATAGCAACACAAAATTGTTAAAATACTCCTTTACAAATAAAAGTCCTCTTTCAAAACTGTTATAAAATTGATAAGATTGCCATCAAAATATACTCAAAGCACTATAAATAAAATAACTTGTTATGTGTAATGGCCTCTTTTAGACACATGTGAAATAATGGATTATAATTATTGACGGCGCATTAATAATAATATAATAATAATAATACATGAGACTTGTATAGTGCTTTTCAGGAAACTCAAAGACGCTTAATGAATTTAATTACTCTCTATAATGTTACTAGATATCTTAACCTACCCTTTTTGACGAAATGTTTATTTATTCGTTTATTTATATTTTGTATTAGCTAATTATCTGAATCTGTAATGTAACTAAAGTTGTAAAAGTAAATGTAGTGGAGTAAAAAGTACAATATTGGCCTCCAAAAATTATTTGATTAGAAGTAAAAAATAGCATTAAATTAACATTTTTAAGTAACCTATTAGTACCTTAAAATGGTATTTAAGTAAATGTGCTGGGTTATATTCCACCTCTGCGTACATGAACTATATTATCTGTTTTAAACCGATTATTATTCTTCCTCTCTCTCTGCAGTCTTCCTCTGTTGTGTCGCTGTGTCGCTCCGGGCACAGCCTTCCTCCAGCTGACGGCAGGAGAGAGTATCATCGTGCTGCACAACCTGACCACACTCTGCACAGACCTGGACCCACAGGTAATACACACACACACACACACACACACACACACACACACACACACACACACACACACACACACACACACACACACACACACACACACACACACACACACACACACACACACACACACACATACATTAGCAGAAGCTTTTTTACAGTGAGATTTTACTACCAGTATTTAAAGGACAAAATACAAATTACATTCAGGGCACAAAAAAGTGACAGAGTGAGAAAATACAAAAACCCCAAACTAGGAAACATTTTTGGATAATAGTATTATCCCTCCAGTAAAGTTTGAATGGACGGTTCATCCCCAATCACAGAGCTGTAGGAGTTGCTAGCAGTAGAGATGTTTTCATTTTCTCGACTATGATGAAACTAGATGGCACTTTGCTTGCGGTACTCAAACCCCCCCCCTCCCAAATAAAATACTCAGAAATCTTGAAATACTCAGTCTAGTCATGAAGGAACTATTTTCTATCTTTCAAATTACAATTATTTGCTGACATATTACATATTTTATATATTGTTAACCACATGCGTAGATATCAAACCAACAACCCATAAAAAAACCTATAAACTTGACGCTCAGCAATTTCTGAGTTCACTTACTTTTTTTTACCAATTAATAATTCTTACGTACATTATCCAATTTTAATGCATGTTGTTTTTCATTTTTGGTGAGTGATCATGTCCTTTTTGCTGCAGCAGTATTTTATCCTGCTTATTTCAGGAGGATAGTAAGAATGTTAGTGTCTTCCCAGTGAACGTCCTCATTGTTAAAAAGTAATGCATTGGTTTCTTGGGGTAAATATATATAGGAGTCAAATTATTAACTTTAATCGGGAACTGCTCAAAAAACAAGCCTTTGTGCTAAAACAATGAACACTGCTCACCTTTACTTTCCCTGTAGGTTTCTGCAGCTTTGGCGAGTAACTTCGGGGACGACATCGACGCCACGGACATTTCTGTCCTCGGGAACGAGAGCAACAGCCTGTCTGTCGGGCAGATCAACAAAATCAAACCTGCAGACCTGTTGGCGGCGCTCACCACCCTCAGCGCGGTGACGGGCTGGAACGAGGGCCAGGCCAAAGCCATCGTCATGTCTCTGATCTCCACGGGGGCCATGAAGGTAGCTGCTCTCCGTAGAGTTCAGATCTGATGTCTGTGATCACATAAGTCAAGAGTATAGAAATCTCATCTGCAGAGGTGGGAAGTAGTGGAGTACAAATACTTCGTTGCTGTACTTAAGTACATTTTTCTGGTATCAGTACTTTACTCCACTACTTATTTTTCTGAAGACTTTTTACTTTGACTACATTTTGAACACAAATACCTGTACTTTCTACTTCTTACATTTTCCAAACAGGCTGGTTCCTTTAGTTTGAATGTGTGTTTGGTGGCGTGATCATTATTATTTAGAGTCATTGCGTGCCTATTGATTTGAACACGATCCGTGTATCCATCACTTCCTGGTCTTCTCTAAAGAAGAGGGACCAATGAAAACGTTGTCATGTTGCCGTTGTTCAGCATGGAAACATTCATTAGCTAACAATGACATTATTGTTCTATTAATATAAAGGGAGGTCAGGTACTCTTTAAAACAGCTGCTAGTTATGGGTACTTTTTACTGAAGTACATTTCAAAGCCCATACTTCTTTACTTTGACTTGAGTAAAGAAGTTTAGTCAGTACTTCTACTTTCACCAGAGTATTTTTAAACACGAGTATCTGTACTTCTACTTGAGTAAAGGATGTGTGTGCTTTTGCCATCTCTGCTCATCTGTGTCTTTTACTTATTTATCACCCATCAGATCAACAGCTCGTCGTCGTTGCTCATGCTCGGTTCTCTCGTCGTGGGAATTCCTTCGAAAACGTTCGGCAGCATCAGCGGCTCCCAGCTGCTCACTGCGTCCAAAGATCCCTCGTTCCTGCAACACATCACCACCGCTTCATCCATCGTCCAGCAGACTTTTGTTAATCAGGTATGACAGCTTCATTTCTTCTGTTACAGGACTGCATTTATATGTTTCATTAAATATTCAAAATTAAGCATTTTAGCTGTAGTTTAAAGGACAGTTTCAAACATCAATGGAAAGGTACTGTTGCTACAAATTAAGACGACACACCAAAGTTCAAGTCATGACTTATTGGACTAATTTATGTGAAGATATACAATTTCCCCGGCCTGGAAAAGTCATTACATTTGGAAAAATACTTTGAATGATCGTATAAACATTGAAAAATATGTAACGTGTACACTGTGTAAGAGAAGGATCTTTATGAAGTTACACCAATTGTTTTTCAGTCGAGCATCCACACATTTGTTTATATCGTTATTCAATGATATTAAGAAAATACTGGTAGTAACAATCAGACACAGGATTGTATGGGTTATGCATGAAGTTTGAAGTATTTGATTTAAATGTAATCATAACTATTACGAGCTATTAGAGATACAACAAGGTTGGGTTCTAAGTATAGCGTGTACATATACTGTAGGTTGTATGTTCAAGGAAATTAGATTTATGGGTCCTTAAAAAGTAATGGAAATGTTTTTACATTTGGTCTTAGTCAATGTTTGTGAAGCCGGTTTAGGAGTGACCTCCTCAAAATCCTGTTCTTGGAAACCTCCAGTGGTTTAACCTGTCTAATAGGTGCAGTGATGAAGACATCTACTACTTAAATACAGAAATCCTTCTCCCATCCTCCCACAGATCATCTCAGTGAACACCAACAGTGAAACGATCATTCAGAATATTCCGGATGAATTGGCCCCAGAGATCCCTCGAGCTCTGCTGCTCGGCCTCACAGGCGACAGCAGCGTCCTCACCACGCTCAACAAGAAGAAGTGGAAACGGCAGCAGGTGAGGGGATTCAACACTAAACACACATTTGAACTAAACACACGCTGTTCTGTAAGTCCTCATGTCACATTATGTGTTTATTCTTTCAGGCTGAGTTGTTCTTTGGAGTTATAGCTGTGGAATCTGCAACCACGGAGCTGGGAAGTGCAAACAAGTGAGTTTTAAGGAAGTTTTAAATAATGTAATAGTCAGGAAAAGTCCTGCATATGGTATATCAATCAACAACTTTATTAATCCCGCAAGGGGCAATTGGTTATGAGCAGCAGCTTATGTCATGTACACAGGAAGAAGAACACACACAGATACACCCGGGAGCACAGATGTGGATCATTCCAATTTACACTATAAATAGTTCATAGCATCACAATAATAAATAAATAAATAAATAATCAAGTTAAAAGCCTTTCAAGAATTTAAAAGTTTGAGTGCAGAAGGGATGAATGATGATGTATATGCCCTTTAAATCATTTCTGTTCCTTCGGCTTTGGCCCCCTTCCCCAACACACCACCCACACACATGTGTCATTCATTTGCCAAAAAGGAGACGAAAACGCACAACAAATGAAGCTACAGATGAATGAGATTCATAGCTAAAGGTTTTTTTTCCCACCAACAGATACTGCAATCAAGGTTCTTTATTGTCAATCTGACATAGCTACAGAGTAATTATGCAGTTGAAAATCTTATGTCACAGGCTTCTCCAACAATGCAACATAATAACATAATAACAATAAGTGCAAGAGCAATACAAAAATAATAATAGTTATAAAAATGAAATAAAGTTATGATGTGGAATAGTGCAGTATGAGTCTATATACAAGTTATTGGAATGATATATATATATTAGGTATTAGATACATACTACTGAGTAGCAGTTGAATGTTTGATGTTGTTTCAACAGTTCAATTGTTTAACAGTCTCACTGCCCGCGGGAAGAAACTGTCTCCGAATCTTCTTGTCCTTGCCCGGATGCTGCGGTAACGTCTGCCAGACGGCAACAGAAAGAACAGTTTGTGGCTGGGGTGATGGGGGTCTTTGATAATCCGTAGTGATTTCTTCCTGAGCCGCTGGGAGTAAAGGTCCTCCATGGATGGCAGCTCCGTCCTGGTGATGTGCTGTGCAGTTTTCACCACCCTCTGTAAAGCCTTATGATCGAGGTCGGTGCAGCTGCCGTACCAGGCCGTCATGCTGCCAGTGAGGATACTCTCTATCGTGCACCTGTAGAAGTTGCAGAGTATCCTGGAATCCATTTTGAACCTCCTCAGCCTGCGGAGGAAGAAGAGCCGCTGTCGAGCTTTCTTGGTGATGGTGGTGGTGTGAAGAGACCATGTCAGGTCCTCAGTGATGTGGACCCCAAGGAACCTGAAGCTTTTGACTCTCTCCACCGTAGTCCCATTGATGGCGATGGGGGCGTGTCCCTCTCCCTGCTGCTTCCTGTAATCCACAATCAGCTCCTTTGTTTTGCTGATGTTGAGATGGAGGTTGTTCTCCTGGCACCAAGATGTCAGGTTTTCGACCTCCTCTCTGTATGCCGTCTCGTCATCGTCTGTGATCTGGCCGATGACGGTCGTGTCATCAGCAAACTTCACGATGGTGTTGGAGCTGTGTGTGGCCACGCAGTCGTGGGTGAACAGGGAGTAGAGGAGAGGGCTGAGCACGCAGCCTTGAGGGGCACCGGTGTTGAGAATCAGGGTGGAGGATGTGATGTTTCCCACCCGCACTGCCTGGGGTCTGCCCGTCAGGAAGTTCAGGATCCAGTCGCAGAGGGCGCTGTTGAGCCCGAGGTCTCTGAGCTTGATGGCCAGCTTGGAGGGCACAATGGTGTTGAATGCTGAACTGTAGTCAATGAACAGCATTCTCACATATGTGTTCCTGTTCTTCGGGTCCAGGTGTGAGAGGGCAGTGTGGAGGGTGAGGGCTATGGCGTCGTCTGTGGACCTGTTTGCTCTGTAGGCAAACTGCAGGAGGTCCAGAGATTCAGGGAGGGAGGAGGTGATGAATAATTTGACTAACCGCTCAAAGCACTTCATTATGATGGAGGTGAGTGCTACTGGGCGGTAGTCGTTGGGGCAGGTGATGATTGTCTTTTTGGGGACAGGAATGATGGTGGAGTGTTTAAGACATGTGGGGACTACAGACTGCAGCAGGGACCTGTTGAAGATGTCTGTGAACACCTCTGCCAGCTGAACTGCACACACCCTGAGAACACGGCCAGGGATGCCATCAGGTCCAGGAGCCTTGTGTGGGTTAACCCTTTTAAAGGATTTACACACATCTGCCCTATTTAAAACAAAAGGGCAGTGTAGCTCCTGGTCCCTCTGTACCTCCACAGCCTGGCTGCTCTCAAAGCGTGCAAAAAAAACTGTTTAGCTCATCTGGGAGAGATGCGCACGCAGACACTCCCGCAGCACCCCCCGCTGCTCCTTTGTAGTCAGTCATTGTCCTTAGTCCCGCCCACATATTCCTAGTGTTACAGCCTTTGAAGTCAGATTCCACCTTCTCTTTGTACTGTCTCTTTGCATTTTTTATTGCTCTCCGGAGATCATACCTAGACTTCCTGTACTCCTCCAAATCTCCCGCTGTGTGCGCGAGAGTGCGCGCTTTCAGTTTGCCGCGCACCTCACCGTTTACCCAGGGCTTTTGATTTGGGAATGTCCGTACAGAAACCTTCGGTACCACGTCATCGATGCATTTCCCAATGTAGCAGATGACAGTGTCCGTGTGTGTGTTGATGTTATTGTCCTCAAACACACTCCAATCCGTGGATGCAAAGCAATCCTGCAGTGCTGAATCTGACTCCTCGCTCCATCGTTGTACTGTCCTTGTTATCGGTCTGTCCCTTTTAAGTTTCTGCTTGTAAGCAGGCAACAACAGTAGTGAGATATGGTCTGATTTGCCGAAGGGAGGGCGAGGGAGAGCCTTATATCCATTCCGGAAAGGGGAATAAACATGGTCCAGTATGTTTCCCCCGCGCGTCGGGAAGTTGATGTGTTGGTAATATTTTGGCAAAACCTTCTTCATGTTGGCGGTGTTGAAATCTCCGGCCACAACGAACGCCGCATCTGGCCGTGAAGTCTCGGTTTTATCAATAAACCCAAACAGCTGATCGAGTGCCGTGTTGTTGTCGGCGAGTGGCTGCGGCGGGATATACACTGCTGTTATCACAACAGATGTGAATTCCCTCGGCAGATGGAAGGCCCGACATGAGATCATGAGGTGCTCTAGCTGTGCGGAACAGTCCGATGAAATAATCTTCACATCTGAGCACCAGTTGTTGTTAGTCATTACACACACACCGCCTCCCTTACTTTTCCCCGAGTTTGCAGTCCGGTTCTGACGAAAAATAGAGAATCCGTCAGGGACAATAGCGGAGTCCGGGATAGCGGGGTTGAGCCAAGTCTCAGTGAGAATTAACACGTTACAGTTCTTAATGTCCCGTTGAAAAGCAATCCGGCTTCTGAGTTCATCTAGCTTATTTTCAATGGATTGAACATTAGCCAGAAGAATACTCGGAAGAGGGGGCCGATTCTCACGTTTTCTTAGTCTGACCAGCAGCCCGGCCCGGCATCCGCGCTTTGTCCTCTTCTTGCGTCTCTCAGGTAGAACAGCAACAGGTAGCCATGGTGAATCTCCATTGTCTGTCGGAGGGTTAATATTGTCCACGAAGTTTCGCAATTGGAGAAGTTCCTCTCTGCTATATTGTATGGCAGAGTAGGTGCGGTCGGCTAGCATGTTGCGAACCATGTTAAAAGTAAAACGGCAAAAGTAAAAGAAATATGTACAAAATACGAAAATGGGCAAAGTTGGAGAGGAGCACGAAGACGATGCGGCCATCTTCACCGGCGCATCATGCATTTACATCATGCATTTACATGCAATCATATCTTAATCTTGGCCTCAGTCATAGTGTGTACCGTGTATAATTGTGTATACTGTATATCGAGAATAACGTGTGTGTGTTTTTATGTGTTTGTAGCTTGTCGTCCTCTGTGCTGCAAGGCTTCACGTGCACCGGAGTGAGGACTTTTAAGACGGTGCAGATCAAGAAGCTGATCAAAGCCTGTCGGAGGAAAGGAAAGAGAAAGGTCACACTGGTGGAGACTCAGGTGAGAGTGTGTGTGTGTGTGTGTGTGTGTGTGTGTGTGTGTGTGTGTGTGTGTGTGTGTGTGTGTGTGTGTGTGTGTGTGTGTGTGTGTGTGTGTGTGTGTGTGTGTGGTGTGTGTGTGTGTGTGTGTGTGTGTGTGTGTGTGTGTGTGCGTGTGCGTGTGCGTGCGTGCGTTCAGTGTTTTCAATCAGCAACTGCATTTGGCGAAAGGTAGTGATTTGAAATGTACTTAAATGAAAGTCTTTGAGTGACTTAAAGATATGTTTCAGATTCTTATTTATTTAGAAAAACAAGTACTTCTTTCTAAACCATTTTTAAGGCTGTTACTTCTCCTTTATGTCTTTTTTTTACTTTCACCTTAACATTTACAAATCACAGCAGCGTGCAACTATGTAGGAGATGTATCCCAAATAATGTAAACGTTTCTTCTGCTCACCAACAGTTGACCTGCATGTACAACTACATCAAAGACGACTCCGACGCCACCATCTTCAACATGTTTCCTCCTGATATGCTGATGTACTACGAGTGAGTCTGGATTTAGGTTGAAAAACCGATTTAGTCTTCATTTCACAGATCTTCAGAGCAGTGTGTGTTATTGACCGACTCTCTGTCTGTGTGCAGTTACTCTCTGGTGCCAGAGGCCATTTGCCGGTCGTATTTCGAGCAGCTTTCAGACGCAGACTTCTCCGTCTTCTCCTCCGACCTCAGCTACCAACGCAGCGCTCTGTTTGATAACGCGAAGAGCTGCCTGGTGAGTCCACGAAACAAAAAATCACATATAATGTCCATCTCAAGTTCCCGAAGTTCAACACTAAAAGAACTTATTGAACAAAAGTCAAACTGTCTTTCTTAGACATTAAAAAGTGTTGAAACAACGGAATCAATTTATTGGAGGGAGATTAAGGTTAAGTGACGATATAAAGGTTCAAATTAAATACCTATCAGGATGCCAATTTAGTTTTGAGTCTTGTTGTCTGTCAGTGCAAATGCATTACATGTACAATACAGTCATTGTGATAATATCAATGAAAACTAGAGGCACAAACAATAGTGTCAACTACTAGCAATTCACTTAATATTTTTTTATAAAATCATTGTCCAGGACACTTTTTCCCGTGCTACAATGTATTTTTACTGACCTTACTTACTTTTACTTTAGCTGAATGGTTAGTATTTAACTTTACCGCAATGTCCCTGTTTTGATTTCAGCTGTAAGACCTGTGTTGCATGTTATACCTCTCTATCTTTACTCCGTTTCCATTTCCACCCTTTTATCTTTCCAATAAAGGCAAATCAAATTAATAAAATGAGTTCAGGACTCCAGAGTAAAGATGTGACTGATTGAAATTCAAAATGTGCTCCATTAAGACTATTTTTATGATATTAAATATAATCTGCTATCATAACGAACCCCGGATTTAAACTGTACATTAATGTCAGTCTGAATGAAAATCTAACCGTATTCCAGTCTGTAATTAATTCCTGTTTCTAACCCTCCTGTCTTCTCAGAATATAACCAACACGAGTCTGACGGAGGATAATGTGTCGGTGTTAGGGAACATGTGCTGCGTTCTGGACGGGTCGTACATCGAGAACTCTGACCCGTCCATCCTGGAGAAACTCAACAACTGTCCGGACCTCACAGACGCTCAGGCGGCCGCTGTTGAAGCTCTGCTGCAGGGCGGGAAGACTCAGTACGGGTACGTCAACAGCAGCAATATCATACATTTATCATCAAATCTTTTGTTTACTTGGTATAAAACCTACTTTATTTCTTACAAGCAACAATAACATTTTCGCTGTTTCTTTCTCCAAAAAAAAGTCAAAACAGATAAAAAATGTAAAGAAAGCAAAATATATAAGTTTGAATTTCAGTTTGTTAAAAATACATGTCTTTATTTTTAACCAGAGCTGCATCAACATGGACATTACAGACTCTGAAGGACCTCGAGATGTTACCGCTGTATCTGACTTCCAGCTTCTACGATAACTTTAATAAAGTGAGTAACTAACACGTGGATGAATGCAAATAGAAGAACAAATTGTGATTCCATTAGTAAGTGAGAAAGTAGCTAAGATTTTATTTGAGTAGCAAAGTGCTTCACATCGAAAAACATGGATATACAGTTATAAACAGAGGATTGAAATACATTACAGCTCCTATAAGGGGAAAGAAATGTGGTAAAGAAGAATTTTAAAGCAGTTTACAAACAAAGGAATATATAATAAGTTTGATATGTGTGAAGAGGAAAGACCATGTAGGCATTGTAAGTGTACATCCTGGCATTATGTCGCCTGCTTGGTGATGGATTGAGATTTTCTTGAGTTTCATTTTGTGTTTCGTTTTGTTCCTGCGAGCAGAAAACAAAGCGGACGTTCTTGAAGTACTTCCTGAAAGTTCTTAGAAGCAACGGAGGGAGCAGAAAGAAGAGGAAGAGTCTGAAGAAAGAAATAAGAAAGTCCATTAAGAATAAATCAAAGCGATCTGTCGGTGAGTCTCCCTCCGTTATCTGCTATTATCTCTTCATGAATTCACCGTATTAAACATTCATCTTCCTGTGTTTAAGTCGCTGAGTGCACTGTAGGAGAGATCAATCAGGTGATCATCAGCGATGACACGTTCCCCTTCGACTATGACGACATCACTCAGTTTAACTGCTGCCTCAGCGCCTCCACCGTTAAAAACAATCTGGACGGCATCACGGACAAGGTGGACGACGAGGATTACCTCAAGATCGTTCTCAGCAAGCTGCACGAGGTGAGTCACGGATTGATTTGTAAATGTCTGATCAATAAGAGGTCAGACTTGTTGCTGCTGTTTAAGTACATTTTATTAAAGGAGTTATATACCTAAAATCTGTATAAATTGTATACACTTCTTCCCTCCCTTTACGTACCAGAAAACGTTATTTGCAAATCAAAAATGTTATCTACGTCAGCGGCAAACATTTACACACAGTCAAATGCAATCTAATCTGAATGAATATCATTTGTTTTGTGCACATTCAGTATTTTTTTAATATATATAATCCGTTCTATGGACGTCTCTTTAGTTTTGTGTTTGTCCTGAATTGTTATCACTGAATCATTCTTAAATATTCTGTGTTATTTGCTTCTTTAGTTTGGTGGTCTGTCAAAGGTGTTGTTTTTTAACAAACATAAAGCAATTTGTTTAAGAGTGTGCAAGCGTATTCTTGTACCATATGAATGGAAATGGGAAAGGAATTTAAAAAATGATAACTAAAAAAATAGCTATCACGTAAACATTGTGTTTCCATAAGTCCATTTATGGATACAAGACACTTTGATAATGCTACACAGGATTTTCTTCAAAGGGGACCTATCATGCAAAATGCACTTTTGTACGTCTTTTATACATGAATACGTGTCCCCGGTGTTCCAGGGAACTCACCAAGTGTCAGAAAACACAACCCTCTCTATTTTCCTCCATACCCAAATCTCTAAAAAAGGGGCTGCAACGGATCTGATAAAAACTGATCCAGATTTGAACACTGTCCTGACGTCAGGACGGTGGCGCTACGGCTATTGGGCCAACTCCACCAATCAGGAGGAGACAGCCACGGCCATTGCCGTTCGAAAGCGCTGGAGACGCTGTAGTACATATGCCAGGCCTGTAGGTGGTGCTGTTCTCACAGAATCTGCCCTTGCAAAAACAGGGCTACAAAAGTGCAAATTGAGCAAAATGAGGCATGGCTAAAATGCATGAAATGTTTGGTATTTTGAAAAAAAAAAAGTATAAATATGCCTTATATAGGTATGGTCCTACACTATATTATTCAAATATAGCATGATAGGTCCACTTTAAATTATTTGGGACATTATCTTAGCTTCTTTCACCTTCAAAGTCTGTTTGCATTGATTCTGTTTTCCGTTTTCAAGAATATATCTGCATTTAAACTCTTTGTACATACATTGAGTGACTCATCCTCTCATAAGTGTCTCATCTTCACTTTCCCTCTGTTCATTTACAGATACATCTCCACAGAGAACTTTAAACAGACTAACTGACTCTTATTCTCACATATTTTAAGGCGTACTCCAGCTCTGACATCCCAGAAGCTCAGGTCCAGCTCTTGGGCCCGGCGTCCCGCGTTGCCACAGTGGAGAACATCGACATGTGGACCATCACTCAGATCGACACTCTCTCCTCTCTGATGGACTCGGACAATGGGGAGTGGGACTCGAGCCTGGTGAGCAGACAATTAATTAAAGGGGACCTATTGTGAAAAATCCACTTTTTCATGTCTTTTATACATCAACATGTGTCCCCTCTGTGTAAAGAGATTCTGAAAGTTTCAGGAAAAAAGATTCTCTCACTTTTTGTCCTGATCCATTTATGGCGCGTTTCCACTGCAGCGCGGAGCTCGCTTTAAGCGTGCCGAGCCATGCGGGGCCCGTTTTTGGTTGCGTTTCCACTTGGCCTAGTACCGGCTAGCGGGTCCTAATTCACAGTTTTTCTGGCCCCATAAAATCGTGGTTCTAGGGCCAGGAACACCAGGCTGAGTCGTGCTGAGTTTGCTAAACTAGAGAGAGAATCGCTGGCAAGGGGGCTACAACTACAACAAGATGAACATATTTGACCGTGATTTAATTGTAATACACGTTTCAAAATGATGCCGAAGTAACAACATACTGATACCGGTTAGTAAAAACCATGAATTAATGCTTTGACAAGTCTGCAGACAGACGGCAGGCGAAAAACCTTTTAAAATGCGTGTTTTCTAAATGGAGATCGGCTAAGCTAACGCAGTATATGCTCCGACCGTCCACACTCACAACAACGGCCTATACAGACATAAATAAAGCAGCGACTGTACTCGCCATGACACAGGCAGTCTGTGGTTTGTACTTGTTTAACTTTTGTCTAGTTTCTGAACAGATATGAGGAGCTGTGAGCTCTGAGTGCTAACAGCTAACGGCTGTGTTGTTTTTCTGGGGTTCTCATTGAAGATGACGTCACGGCTCCGCCTACACTGCGTTACTATAGATACTACCCCAGTTCCTAAACTGTAATAGAAATGCACCATAAAGTGAGCCAGTCCTAACGAGGCCTAGCCTTACCGAGCGAGGCCGTGTAGTGGAAACGCGCCATTATATAAAAACCTGTCTGAAAATGAGCTGATTTTGGCCACTTTATGATGTCATAACGATTGTTTGGCTTGTGTAACCATTAGCCAATCTTCATGATGTAGTCACCTGGAATGGTAAATTATAAATAAAATAAATAAAATAAATAAATAAAAACCTTCAAATGAGAAGGTGTGTCCAAACTTTTGACTGCTACTGTATGTGTACAAATATGTGCTTGTGTGTCCTGATGAATGAGTGTTTTCTGTTGTCACCAGACGAAGGCCATCGTCTCTAAGTATCTGAGTACTGAGGGGAACAGTCTGGGCAGCACGGAGCTCAACAGCCTCGGAGGAACCAACCTCTGCTTCCTCGACGTCAACGTCCTGCAGAACATTTCCTCACAAAGCCTCAAGTAAGGATCGTGTGTGTGCGTGTGTGCGTGTGTGTGTGTGTGTGTGTGTGTGTGTGTGTGTGTGTGTGTGTGTGTGTGTGTGTGTGTGTGTGTGTGTGTGTGTGTGTGTGTGTGTGTGTGTGTGTGTGTGTGTGAGGATCATAGCTCGACTGTCTGTTAAAATATGTTGTACGTTTTAAACTGCCGCTTGATTCAAGTACAACATTTCAGAAAACCGCTTCTTCTTGCTTTAACATCCACCCAGGAGATGCCAAATGATGATGATTGTAGTACAACATAAATCCAAATAAAATAACAGTTTTTTCAAGTATTTCATAATGTAAATGTGTGTACTTAATCCATTGTACTCTTGTTTACGTTGTTTGTATCCAGCACCTGTAGACAGAGGTTTTTAGCTTGAGCCTATTTTCGTCTCTTACTCTGTGTCTCTTGCTCTGCAGAGAGGCCAACGCCCTGACGGTGTCCTCCTGCACCTTGGAGAAAAAGAAAGCCCTGTTCACCATTGCCAAAGAAGCGTTTGACACAAACACCCGCGCAACAAATATCCCTACTTCCACCTACCAGCTCATGGAACCTTACTTGGGTAAGCAAAAAGACCCACACACACATCCATACAGCAAAACTTTATTTTGAACACAGTTAATCCCGTTTATTTCTGTCCTGGCCTGCAGGAGGCGCGGATTTATCCTATGTCAAAAGTCTGTCGACCTCCGACATCAACATGGACATGGCTACCTTCACCGCACTGGACGAGAATGTTATACTGGTCAGTGGTGTGTGTGTGTGTG